TTTTGTTGGTAGGGAAAACTGTGTTATATTTCCAATAAATTTTTAATATTAAATCCTTTTTTCATTTGGCATGATTCCCATGCCTATTAGTAACATAATAGTAATAATAGATTTTCGTGTGTAAAATTCATTCCTATTTCTGGTCATAAAAACAATCTGGTATGTTTGTAATATTCATTTTCAATCACAAAAACAATTTGGTAAGTGTTTAATAATCATTTCCTTTTTCCTTTACCCTAATTTTCTGTGTAGCAAATTAGTTATTTTTACTTATTAAGCACATATTTTTTTTTTAATTCGAGTCCATTTTTAATATTAATTTCTTTTTTCGTTTGGTCTGATTTCTGTGCCAAAAGCTGTGTTATATTTTTAGTGAAATATAAAAATATTCATTCGTTTTTCTTCATATTTCATTTCGTTTTGAATATATATATTTCTTTTTTTTTTTCTCCATAAAAAGAATTAATATTGACTTTTATTCATTTTTCTAATAATTGTCGATTAATTGGCCTGATTTCCATGTCGATTAATAACATGATATTAATAACCGGTTTCTTTGTAAAATATTCATTTCCTTTCTCGTTCATAAAAAGAATTAATATTCATTTCCACATAATTAAAAAGTAATATAATTATAAAAAATATCATTACTGATTATATTTCCAGTAAACTATTAATATATTCATTTCATTTTTCCTTCATAAATAATTAATATTAATATAATTATAATAATTATAATCATATAATTGCTGATTATATTTTAAGTGAAATATGAATATATTCATTTCCTTTTTTACTCATAGAAAGAGTTAATATTCATTTCTATTTCTTTTTCCCTCATAATTTTTTCTAATATTTTACGTGGTGGTTATTAATTTTTTCGTAGGGAAAGCGGTGTTATATTTTCAATAAATTTTTAATATAATTTTTTTTTTCATTTGGCCTAATTCCCGTGTCTATTAGTATAACATAATATTAATAATAGATTTTCGTGTCTAAATTTTATTTTTTTCCTTTCATATTCATTTCTTTTTTTCTTCATAAATAATTAATATAATTATAATAATATAATATAATTACTGATTATATTTTAAGTGAAATATGGATATATTCATTTCCTTTTTCATTCATAGAAAGAGTTAATATTTGTTTTCATTTCTTTTTTCTTCATAATTTTTTCCTAATATTTCATTTGGGGGTTACATATAATGGCTTTGAAGTAATACTATTAGAAATAGGCCTAATGATCATTCCTATTTCTGGTCATAAAAACAATCTGGTACGTTTGTAATATTCATTTTTAATCATAAAAATAATCTGGTACAATGTTTAATAATCATTTTCTTTTTCCTTTACCCTAAGTTTCTGTCTAGCAAATTAGATTTTTACTTATTAAACACATTTTTTTTTTTTAATTCGAGTCCATTTTTAATATTAATTTCGTTTTTCTTTTAGTATGATTTCTGTGTCAATTAGTAACAGAATATTAATAACAAATTTCATTATTACAATTAATTCTTTAGTTTTTTTTTTTTGAATTAGAATACTGATAATTGTAATTATATTAATTAATTAATTGTATGGATTTTTTTTGCAATGAGATACAGATCCACCAATGTACCCATATGTGTTCTCCTGCCTCAAAGCCTAATGAATCATACACATGTTGCATCTTAAATGCACGTAGATATAGACATTCAATTTTTTTTTTTTTTTTGAGAATGCTAATCGATTCACTGATAGTTGAAGGTAGATAACAGTACTTATAATATGAAATTAAACCTTTTGGAAGAATAATATGAAACTAAACTCAAATCCAAGTTACTTTACATCTATTAATCCCTAATTGAGATTATATAAAAACGAAACATAGATTTAAATGATTTCATCTAAGAGCTTGTAAATATGGTGACTGCTTTAGTGTTTTTAGAGAAACAACGTGCTTTACCAATTCGCCAGGAAGAACCAATCTCATGCCAGCCTAGATCTCGCGGGAAGTGATTATCGGCTTCTTGTTGTAGTGGGCCAAGCGAGTCACCTCTTGGGCGAGCTTCAAGAAGATATCGTTGATGAAGCTATTCATGATGTCCAAACTGCAAAACATATTGAAGTACGTGAGAATATAGTTAGAAAAATGTAGAAAATTCATTTAAAAAGAAAGCAGAAAGATGAGTCTGAGATTCTTTGATTGAAGAAGCTCTTGTATTTATAGGTAGAAAATACTAATTCAAAAGGAAAGTATAATAATTTATTTATTTAAGAGAAAGTATAATAATTTATTTATTTAAGGTAATAACATTATTATTATTGTTATTATTATTATTATTATTATTATTATTATTATTATTATTTATTTATTTAATTTCCATTTGACATTTACTTACCAAATAGGTTTTACTACAAAAGTTTTGGGGGGAAAATTTGTTAGGAGAATTTTACTTTTATATATATATATATATATAGATATATAGATATATAGATATATAGATTTTCTATCAAAATATACAATATTTGACAACAAATATTTTTTTTGGATCATCAGGAAAATTTACATAACAAGTTAGGAATAGATGTTTAATCATTAATTTTAAATATTTTTTTAAAATATTTTTTTTATAAAAAAGTAAAAGTAAAAAAATCAAATATTAGACTTATATGGATAATGAGTTTGCTTGCTACTTACTACGTACTGTTATTAGTTTGGACTTTGGACTTTGCAATTTAATCTTGAATTGGGCCCCAAGACCTTTACAATGCAGTATCAGCAGACAGCAACTTTCATTTGTTATTTTTAACTTTTCGTATGCGGTAAATTATACCGTAACATTGATACATGTTTCGTCAACGGTAGTTTATTTTGAAATTTCACTACTGGAAATTATGAAATTTCCGACCACCTGAAAGTGATCTTAAATTAAGTTGAAAGTAAAAAGTAGTCGGAAATAGGAATAAAGGCTTTTCCGGATACCAAAAGTGGTCGGAACAAGATTTTCGACTTGATTTAAGATCACTTTCAGGTGGTCGGAAATTTCATAATTTCCAGTAATATTTTATCGTTTCATTTTGAGCTTTTATCATTTGAAGCTCATAATTTTTTTTGGAGTTGAGCTTCATTTATCAAGACAATTAAAACAAAATTAATATTAAATAATATTTAATTAAAAATAAAATTACATAAAATATAATTAAATTTTAATTTATTAAATTACAACTATTAGTTATATTAAAATAATAAAAGTATAAATATAAACTTTAAATGTATGAAAATATAAATTATTTTAGTGTAAGAATAAAATTTGGTGTAATGGGTTGAAGATGAAAAAAATCAAGTATAAGAATATGTTGAAAATATTTCTTTTAGTTTAAAATTTGGTACAGAATTTGGAGATCGTCTAAGCAATTAATTAACAACCTTATACCATGTGACAGTTTTAATTTCTCAATTTATTATTGAATATATATCATAATTTTCCTCTTCTAAAAAGAAGATTAATGCAGAAAACGCAAATCGTCACAATTAAAATTTCGCATACGATTGACTGATTGAGTATTATAATATTATTACTCCTCCGGGCTCCTGCCCCTTCTAGTTTCTCAAAATATTCCATTGCATGTATTTGTCGCATGTAAAAATAATAATGAGGAATATATTTATTCACTGAACGTGATAATATAATGTGCAATGTGTGCCACAAGCTAAAATATAATGGAAACAAAATATTAATTAACTTATAAGCTAATAATAGAGTGGAGCCCAATCTATAACTCTATAAGTCTGCAACTCAATTCACGAGAACGAAACATAATGGCTCTGTTTGACAAACCTAGCTGAAAAGCTATAAGCTAGGAGCTGATAGCTGAAAAGGAGCTGATAGCTGAAGGAGCTGAAAGCTGAAAAGTTATAAGCTCAGAGCTGAAAATTGAAGAGCTGTTAAGCTAGCTGTTATGATTGAAAGTGTTTGGTAAAATTAACTTTTTGATAAGTTGATAAATGTAAAACGACTAAAAAGGACATCTTCATAAAATTTAAATTAGTTTGTTTACATATTAAAATTTAACATTTCGTCTTCCAAAAAAAGTAAACACTTTTTAAAATAAAACTATTAGCATGATCATAATCTAGCATCCCATAATGAAGTAGCAATATTGTTGCGAATCTCCTTCATCTCCCTAGAGGTGTGACTTAAATTTTCGTTGATGGAGATATTACTACTTGAATCTTGAAGTTCATCGGGCGGTATGCAATATGGATGCTACTCAAACACATTAAACATCATGTCATCTTGTGAATTCTTCCGAATATAATTATGTAGTGCAAATGTGGCCATAATAATATCAATTTGGGTCTCCTCACTAAACTGTGGCATTTTAGCAAGTATCTTCCATCTCTTATTCAATAATTCAAACGAACTCTCAATACAACTTCGAAGAGGAAAATGTGCACGATTGAATGCTTCTTGAGCATTAGTTGGCGGGTCTTGTTCAATTTGAGATTGAAGCCATATTGCTAATTTTAAAATAACATTAATAATAATAATAATAATAATAATAATAATAATAATAATAATAATAATAATAATAATAAGCTAAAGTTTTAACATAATTATTTAGCATGAAACAAGACTAAGGAAGGGATTGACGTGAAAGTTGGGATAGGGGAAGAGAAAGGGTTTTAATTCATAAGGTTAAAATATATCATTACTTTAAAATAATAAGGGTAAAGATGAAAAAAAAGTTAGGAAGCTAGTAGCTTATTTTGAAACGCTACCTAAAGTAGTGTTCCAAAATAAACTTTTATTTTAAGCTAAGAGCTTATTTTGGAAACATTACCAAACAGAGCTTATAACTTATTAGTAGCTTAAAATAAGCTATAAACTCCTAGCTTAGCGTCGTTGACGACAGAGCCAATATAATGTGCAATGTGTGCCACAAGCTAAAATATAATGGAAACAAAATATTAATAACTTATAAGCTAATAATAGAGTGGAGCCCAATCTATTACTCTATAAGTCTGCAACTCAATTCACGAGAACGAAACATACACAAACTAGCTAGCATTCAGATATCATGGCAGGGGCATCCAAGGCCAAACCTCATCCTTTTCCACTTTACGAAATACAATTTCGAAACAACAGAATATCAAGAACCATAGAAATCATTATCCTATTCCTTCTGCTATCACTCATTAGCTACAGACTCTTTTCTCTCCGCACCCATGACCATATCCCTTGGCTTCTTGCTCTCACCTGCGAGGCTTGGTTCACTTTTGTTTGGATTGTCCTCGTCAACTCTAAGTGGAATCAAATCCAAACCAAAACATACCCACAACGCCTCTTGCAATGGTATGCTAGTACTATACATACAACATTCAATTCCTAAAATTTTAATTTGTAAATTTGCCTTGTTTCGATGTTTTTAAGGTTGGGAGATGGGACATCTGAGTTTCCGGCTGTGGATATGTTCGTTACCACGGCCGACCCGGAACTGGAACCGCCGATTATAACGGTTAACACGGTGTTATCTTTGTTGGCTGTGGATTATCCGGCGAACAAGCTAGCCTGTTATGTATCAGATGACGGCGCATCGCCCCTCACCTTCTACTCCCTCGTTGAAGCATCCAAGTTCGCTAAGCTTTGGGTTCCCTTTTGTAAGAAGTATAACATTGCCGTTAGAACTCCATTTCGATACTTTAACAGTACCAACCAAACATTCCAACCAGATAGCTCCTTAGACTTCCAACATGAATGGAAGAAAATGAAGGTATGTACTCACTCAAATTGTCAAAGCTACAATAAACTCTTTTTTTTTTTTTTTTTGGTATAAAGTACTAAGATAATCTTAACTTAATATTAATTAGTTGAAATTCTAGGTTGTTATGCTGTCCAAAAATGATTTAGTTTAATATATTTACTGAATATTGAATTTATCCAAAAAAAAAAAAAAAAGGAATGAAGGAAGAGAGAACACTTTCCATTTTGTGCATGTTTTGCAGGACGAATATTCAAAGCTCTGTAGAAAGATAGAAGAAGCAAGTCAAGATTCTTTGCCACAACAACTTACTGGGGAGTTTTCAGTTTTTGCAAATATTGAGCGAAGAGATCACCCTACCATCATAAAGGTTTATCACTATATCTGTCTTAAAAAATTCAATATAGAATTTTATCCCAAAAAAAAAAAAAAAAAAACTCAACCTCATATAAAACACGTACTGTACAATAATATTAGGGGCAATCCTTAACAAAGTTAGTCAGCTAGGCAATTAAATAAGTAATCGCGAGGTTTTAAGTTTGATTCTTGGTAAAAGTTGCCTATTGATTTCCATGACTTGACTGTCCTAGGTTGATTTACACATAGGACACCATAATGTATGCAAGTTTTATTTTAAGAATACACATATAATGAGTTTCACTAATGTGGGAGCAATCTCTCAAAATGAAATGGATTCCTTGTGCGCAGTTAGCAAAAGTATCACCTCTGTTAATTAGTTAAGTTACCATGATTTACGCCTCCATAATTCTGGGAGGTTAAAGTATAGGGCACCTAGAATGATCATTCTACCTTTTTGTCACAAGAATTCACATATCATTTTCTCAATGGTAATAAATGAGGTATTAAACTTATATTGTAAAAATACTTTGTACAAATTTTATGACATTTCCAAGAAGAGAATCAATGAATTAAAAAGTAGGTTACAGTGTTCCCTATCTCTGATTCGCAATACATTCTAGAATGTCTGATTATTTAATTTGCATGTTTAATTTAAAACAATGAATGTATGTTGTCAATTATTTTGGATCGGATTTAGATTCAGAACCTAATAAAGAATAATTCTAAAATGTCCCCATTTCAAGTTGGGTGTTGTTGTGTGGCTAATAGGTAGGGAATTAATTAAAAATTAATTGATAAAATGATAATTAATTCAGGTGATTTCGGAAAACAAGAAACATGTTGCTAATGGTGATGGTGTGCCCCATCTAATATATATCTCCAGAGAGAAGCGATCAAAGCATTCACATCATTACAAGGCTGGAGCAATGAATGTTCTGGTAATAATTTTAATGACAATTATTATTATCACTTATTTCGATCATTGTTAACTATTTTCTATCTCTATGATTTACTTATCACGTCACAACATATTTTATTCAACTAATGCAATTACTTCATTCAATATTATATTGTCTCACTTTCCCTCATTTTGTTTTTGTATTTTATATGGAAAAAAAAAAAAAGAATTAGATTTGGAACTCTTTAAATTAAATATGCTCTCACACCAACAATGGAGAAGTTGGACTTTTCTTCTTGTTATTACAAACCCTAGCTAATCATATTTTGAAACAGACAAGAGTGTCAGGAGTGATGACAAACGCACCATTTATGCTGAACGTGGACTGTGATTTTTATGTAAACGACCCCAAAGTTGTATTGCATGCTCTATGCTTCTTGCTTGGAGCCAAAGACGAAAGAGATACTGGATTCGTACAATTCCCTCAGGCCTTTATTGGTGGCTTGAAAGATGACCCTTATGGAAATCAACTGAAAGTCATAATGGAAGTAAGTAAAAGATTTTTATTTTATTACTAAAATTAAATTAAGATTTAAAACTTATTCTTTGTTCTTCACCATTAAATTAAAACTGTCCTAAAAGGGGTTGTCGAGTAGGTGGAGCATGAAACGTCACAAGTTCAATTCTTCCCAACACCCTTTTGGATTATTGGTTGATCCTAATGCATAAAAATTGTTTAATATAATTTACCGCTCCTGTATGATTTGTGAAAAGTGATTTATCTTTATTTATTAGTAGGTTAATCATTGTATTTCTGAAATAGTATTTAGGGCGAGGAATCTCTGGTATTCAAGGACCATTTTACCAAGGAACGGGATGTTTCCATAGAAGAAAGGTTATATACGGCATGTCGCCTAATGTGGCTGACGCTAGTGGTATGGATTTTGTCTTACGTAATTTAATTATTGTTACAACTTATAAAGTCACGTTCTTTTTAGAGATTCATTACTCTACTTTTTTGCCACTAGGGAAATCAACTGACAAGGACCAATGGGAAACGTTTGGCAAATCAAAAACTTTCGCTTTAACAACCACTCAAATTTTATCTGGATCTTTGTATCCTGAGATTCCCATATTCCCGAATTCCCTTGAGGCTGCCAAGGAAGTTGCAGGCTGTGCCTATGAATCTGGCACTGCTTGGGGCCAAAAGGTAACTCATGATTTTCATATATAAAAATAACGAGTTTTATTTTTACCAAAACACTTTTAGTCAGACCTATTATACATTTTTTTTTTTCTTTTTGGGTATGATTTGTCGGTTATTATACAAGAGTAAGTTTACCGTTCTTTCAGGTCGGGTGGATGTATGGAAGCACAACAGAGGATATGCTGACCGGGTTAACTATTCATAGCAGGGGTTGGAAATCTGCGTATTGCGTACCCGACCCGCCTGGTTTTCTTGGGAGTGCACCAGCAGCTGGGCCAGATGTATTGATCCAACAGAAGCGATGGGCCACTGGGGTAATGGAAATACTAATCAGCAAGAAAAGCCCAATAATTTTGGCCCTATTTGGGCGGCTCCAGTTGAGGCAATGCCTAGCATATCTATGGGTTATGTGTTGGCCCATTCGGCCCATTTTTGAAACATGTTATTCTCTTCTCCCCGCGTATTGCATCATCAACAATTCCCACTTCCAACCAAAGCTAAACGAAGCCGCCATTGTAATACCAGCTTCCATTTTCCTCATCTACAACTTGTACAATCTATCGGAGTACATCAGAACCGGGGAGTCGTTGCGGGCGTGGTGGAACAACCAAAGAATGTGGAGAGTGTACGCATCTGGGTCGTGGTTGTTCGGATTCCTAAGCGGGGTTGTTAAGGTTTTTGGATTGTCGGAAACGGTGTTCGAAGTCACCAAGAAAGATCATTCGAGCGACGAAACTCTAGACAAGGATGACGACTCCAACGTCGGACGGTTCACATTCAATGAATCTCCGCTGTTTGTCCCTGGCACAACCATTTTGCTGGTGAACTTGGCAGCTTTGTTCATTGGATTTCTGGATTTTAAACAGAATAAGAGTTGGAGTTTTGGAGAGGTAATATGCAGTGTGTGGGTAATATTAATGTATTGGGCATTTCTTAAGGGGTTGTTTGGAAAGGGGAAGTATGGGATTCCATTGTCTATTATTGTAAAGTCTGTGGGATTGGCATTGCTTTTTGTCCATGTCTGCAAAAGGGTATACTGATCCTACTTCTGAGCAATATAGGTATCAAGTTATCAGTATTTCTAAATTACTTTCATATTGCCATTAAAAGTATATTTTACCATCATATTATCAAAATTGTAATTCACTATTAGTTGTTTGTATTGTTGTAATTTTAATTCACTTCTAAAATGTAATGATATTTTCATCTTATGATTTTACATCATAATGCTCACTTGTTATGTGACAATAAAATTCTTTTTTATTCATTAGTTACAGTGAGTCGTTAGCTTACCCCACCTCATGTAATGAAATATACTTATTAATCAAATACATGAGAAGAACTAATTATATATTGTCATGAGAAAATGTGAATATCAAAAGACAAACACAAACAAATGTAATTTCAGCTCTATGAAAATATAATAATAATAATAATAATAACAATTTAACTTTATTAAATTAAATTAAATTTTGTCCCATGCTAGTATGCTATTTTGTACTCTGCCAAATTGTTAGGTGAGATTTAGAATTCTAAGCTTGAAATAATACAATTGACTTTTTTTAAAAAAAATTTATTTGTCACGTGTGGGAAATAGAGGATACTGTGATAACACTTCCACAGGAGAAAATAAGAATTAATCTACTTTTGTATCTGTAAAAATTCGGCAAATCTGATCAGGTTTTTAAAAAAAAAAAAAAAAAAAAAGGTCGCGGCAATTTTATAATTATCATCAATTTTACTGTGCAAATTTTAACACTTAATATACAAATCTGGCAATTCTATAAAATCAACGAAAACGCAAAATTTTAAATCTAAACTGTAAATGTTAGACCTTAAACAGTAAAAAGTGAACCACTGGATCGAATAAAATAAAAAACTCAGTCATAAAGCTCCAAAATCAAACCTTAATTGCAACATACTTTCATATTTTTACAAGTGCAAACTTTTAATACTAATTATGCAAAACGTTAATACTAAATTAAATGTGTCATCGCATTTTCATAGTAAAGTTGGTGATAATTACGAAAATGTCACTGCATTTTTTTTTAAATCTAATTTGGTGCGTTCAAATCTTCATATGTAAGGTTGTGATTAGTTCTTAGTTTTTCTCCTACGGGCTTGTTTTCATATGATCCAACACACACACACATATAGGTATTGGATCAAATAACAACAAGTCCTTAGGAGAGAAATAAGAACCAATCTCATTCTTACATATGAAAAAATCGAACGATCAGATCAATTTTTTTTAAAAAAATATATGGTGGCATTTTCGTAATTATCACTAATTTTACTATGCAAACTTGAACACTAAAATCTACAATTCTCAACTTTTTCCAAGTTTGCACATTTAGTATTAAAAGATTGCACTTGCAAAAATACGAAAATGTATTGCACTTAGGATTTCGATTTTAGAATTTATGACGGAATTTTGTGTTTTATTTGGTTTAGTAGTTCACATTTTACTACTAAAGGTCTAGCATTTAAGGTTTAGATTTAAAATATAGTTTTTTGTTGATTTTATAAACATTACATATTTACATATTTAGTTGTTAAAAATTGTATATTATAGTGTTCAAGTGTACATAGTAAAGTTCATTATAATTACAAAAATATCACTATATTTTTTAAAAATCTGATCAGATCCATCAAATTTTTACTGATGTGAGACTAAGATTAGAGTCGTACCAAGCTAGCTAGCTTACCAGGAATCCAGGATTTATAAAGATTAGTATTTAGTAGTTAAATATTATGGGGAACTCTGTATTCTGCAACTCCCACCACTTGAAACACAAGCATTATTCCTGCTTGTATGTTGAGATATATACATCATGGCACCCAAGCATCCTCCTTTTCCACTTTACGAAATAAAAATCCGAAACAACAGAATATCAAGAGCCATTGAAATCATCATCCTATTCCTTCTCCTATCACTTATTACCTACAGACTCTTTTCTCTCAGCACCCATCACCGAATCCCTTGGCTTCTGGCTCTAATCTGCGAGGCTTGGTTCACTTTCGTTTGGATTATCGTCGTCAGCTCTAAGTGGAATCAAATCCAAACCAAAACATACCCACAACGCCTCTTCCAATGGTATGGTATTAGTACATATATACAATATATATAATCTTGTTTTTCTTGAGCGTATAGTACCTAAGTTAAGTTGTTTCGACGTTTTTAAGGTTGGGAGATGGGACATCTGAGTTTCCAGCTGTGGATATGTTCGTTACGACGGCCGACCCGGAACTGGAACCGCCGATTATAACGGTTAACACGGTATTATCTTTGTTGGCTGTGGACTATCCGGCCAACAAGCTAGCCTGTTATGTATCAGATGACGGCGCATCCCCCCTCACCTTCTATTCCCTCGTCGAAGCATCCAAGTTCGCTAAGCTTTGGGTTCCCTTTTGTAAGAAGTATAACGTCGCCGTTAGAGCTCCGTTTCGACACTTTAACAGTACCAACCCAGTTTTCCCACAAGATAGCTCCTTAGACTTCCAACATGAGTGGAACAAAATGAAGGTATATATATATATATATATATATATATATATATATATATATATATATATATATATATATATATATATATATATATATATATATATATGAAGATTTTGGCATCATTAAATTAATTTTTAAAAAACTTTAATAGTGGTCTAAATTCAATATTTTTATATTGTCCAGATCTATAATAATTGGACTTTAAAATATTCATAATCTAATATGGTATAGTATATTGAATATCGTATCTCTACTAAAATATAAAAAACAAAAGTCCTTGAAAAAAGACTTTCCATTTTGTGCATGTGTTTGCAGGATGAATATTCAAAGCTCTGTGAAAAGATTGATGAAGTAAGTCAAGAGTCGATGCCACATGACCTTGTTGGCGAGCTTTCAGATTTTGCAAATATTGATCGGAGAGACCATCCCACCATCATAAAGGTATTATAGGTCTTGTTTGAATAAATAAAAGCTTTATTTTATCTTGTGCTAAAATGTTATGTAGTGACTCTCTCATGAGAAGCCATGAGATCGCGCTCTTTCATATGAGAGGTCATGAGATCGAGTCTCAGTGGATGTGAGTGGAGGTGTTGTTGACGTGCTTTATTAGGTTGAGAAAGTATGTTTGAACAGATACTACAATGTATAATTGTCAGTAGCATTCAAATTTTTTTAAAAAAAATTAATATAAATTTAGTAAATTTAATATATATGCATGTTTAAAAATTACATGAAAATTTTATGCTGATTATATAATTTATGAAGGATGAATTGGCTTATGAATGGTAAAAAAAAAAAAAAAAAAAAAGACATAAATTGAGATATAAGGAGCATATTCCTATTACGGTACATTTTTATGAAACTCGAATCAATAATAATAATAATTATTATTATTATAATAAGATAGTTGCTAACCATGCAAAGCGTATTGTAACAATTCTTTATACCATATTTATAATTAAAATGGTTTTTAGAGTATTTCATCTAGCGGTTGTGCTTCCTCGTAATCAATGTATAGATAGAAATTTAAAAATCAATTGATTAAATGAGTAATAATTCAGGTGATTTGTGAGCACAAGGAAAGTGATGGTGTGCCTCATTTAATATATATCTCCAGAGAGAAGCGTCCAAAGCATCCCCATCATTTCAAAGCTGGATCCATGAATGTTCTGGTAATAAGTTTAATTAAGCTCTATATATTAACTAGTGAATTCAAACCCTATAGATTAATTAACTATGTCTTCATAGCAATGGAGAAGTTGAACTTTTTATCTATTTTTGTTATCAAAAGCTCTAGCATAATCACATTTATTTTGGAATATAATGGACAGACAAGAGTGTCAGGAGTGATGACAAATGCGCCGTTCATGTTGAACCTGGATTGTGACTTTCATGTAAATGATCCGAAAGTAGTACTACATGCCATGTGCTTCTTGCTTGGAGTCAAAGATGAAAAGGATGCCGAATTTGTTCAATTCCCTCAGAACTTTTATGGTGGATTGAAAGATGATCCTTACGGAAATCAAATGAAAATCATAATGAAAGTAAGTAAAGAATTTCAGTATTAATATTAAAATTTGAACTAGGATTGAAATGTTTAATTTCTTTACTCTTAAATTAAGAAGTCACCAAGATTACGTGGTCTAATGATACTCGGGTTGCACTTCCATTTGGAAGTTTACGAGTTTGAGTCTCAGTAGAGGCGTTATTGGTTCTTGCTGGGATTATGTGTATTGGTTCATACAGTTATGTACATTCTTTTTTAAAGAAAAAATTACTGCCATTCACTGAGGCGGGAAATTTTTTTTAAAAAAAAAAAAATTAAAACGACGTCGTTTTGTATTTAGACGCATATTGCAACGCGCGCTGTGGTGTAGGATATAAATTGCCTACTAGAATGTAATAAGACCAGTAACATTCAAAAAAATTAAGTGATTTGACTTTTTATTAGTATATTAAATAGTTATATTTTTTTATACCCAGTATCTATTCCGAGGAACCGCTGGAATTCAAGGTCCATTTTATATGGGAACAGGATGTTTCCATAGAAGAAAGGTTATATACGGCATGTGGCCCCATGTGGTCGACAATAATGGTATGCATTATTAAATGAATTTTGGCCCACCTATTTATTATATATTGACTCTAATACTCTTATCACTTTCCTATTTATTATTGTATACTATACTTTTCTGCCACTAGAGAAATCAACTGACAAGGACCAATGGGAAATGTTTGGCAAATCAAAAACTTTCGCTTTATCAACCACTCAAATTTTATCCGGATCTTTGTATCCTGAGATTCCCATATTCCCGAATTCCCTTGAGGCTGCTAAGGAAGTTGCAAGTTGTGTCTATGAATTTGGCACTGCTTGGGGCCAAAAGGTAAGTACATAATGCAGAGATTTGAACTCATGACTTTTAATATGACTCTGATACCAAATTGAAGCATGTATTTCATCTCTCAACTAAATACCTAAACTGATAATTGGATTGCACATTAATGATTATATGCTCAATAATATTTTACGTATTATTTTTTAGGTTGGATTGTTGTATGGAAGCGCCGGAGAGGACACGAAAACCGGGGTAAGTATCCACGGTAAGGGTTGGAAATCTGTATATTGTGATCCCAACCCACCTGGGTTTCTTGGGAGTTCACCGACAGGTGGGCCGGCGGCGTTGACCCAACAAAAACGATGGGGCACTGCAGCACTGGATATACTGATATGCAAGAAAAGCCCAATTATTTGGGCTCTATTTGGGAGGCTCCATTTCAGGCAATGCTTGGCCTATCTATGGATTATGGGTTGGCCCATTCGGCCCTTTTTTGAAATATGTTATTCTCTTCTCCCCGCGTATTGCATCATCAACAATTCTCACTTCCAACCAAAGCTAAACGAAGCCGCCATTGTAATACCAGCTTCCATTTTCATTATCTACAACTTGTACGGTCTATTCGAATACATCGAAACCGGGGAGTCGTTGCGGGCGTGGTGGAACAACCAAAGAATGTTGAGAGTTTACGCATCTGGGTCATGGTTGTTCGGATTCCTAAGTGGGGTTGTTAAGGTTTTTGGATTGTCTGAAGCGGTGTTCGAAGTCACCAAGAAAGATCATTCGAGCGACGAAGCTCTAGACAAGGATGATGACTCCAAGGTCGGACGGTTCACGTTTGATGAATCTCCGTTGTTTGTCCCCGGCACAACCATTTTGCTGGTGAACTTGGCAGCTTTGTTTATTGGATTTCTGGATTTTAAACAGAATAAGAGTTGGAGTTTAGGAGAAGCAATATGCAGTGTTTGGGTAATATTAATGTATTGGGCGTTTCTTAAGGGGTTGTTTGGAAAGGGAAAGTTTGGGATTCCATTGTCCACTGTTTTAAAGTCCGGGGGACTCGCACTGCTCTTTTTCCATGCCTGCAAATCTGTACACTGATTTAATTTGTGTAAACAAAACACCTACTATTTCACATTATACTGTGGGAATTGAATATGTAATATTATCATGTGATTTCTACTCTTTAATTTTTTTAAATACAAGAAAATAGTAATAAAGCTAAATTATACAAATTTAAGCAAATCAGATCAATCCCCACAATATTATATTAGCAAATGCAAATTTGCCTCATTTTATATTATTATACATTCCTTCGTGAGTTTCTTATAGTATAAAGGAAGAAAATAAAATCTTTTTTTTTTTTGAAATGTTTTTATCATGATTAATTTTTTTAGTATAACTTTAGTTCAACACAATTGAAACTTCTCTTTCAGAGTTGTGTACAATTTAAGTTCTCTTTTGCCACTATGCTCTCCGCCTTCATTCATATTTGAATTCAAGTTTTCAATGTCCGTGGAGTTCAACTTACGTATCCGCCTCGTCCGTGTCGCTTATTGAATTCATTTCCGTGCCCTTGAATATTCATTAATGGTCAATGGCATAATTTTTATTTATTAGTTGATGCTAATTTAATATACCAAACTATGATGCTCACAAACTCTTTCAAAGTAATAATTTGATGACATTACTGGCATATCATATTGAGCAGATATTACAAATAGATTAAATTGTAGTAATTACAAAAAAAAAAAAAAATAAATTGTTTCCCAACTTTAATTTTGTGCTACATATATAAATATCAAGTACACATTTTACCAAGATTATGTTGTTTAATGGTACCCGAGTTGGACTTTCATTTGAAAGGTTACGAGTTCAATCCTCCGTGAAGGCGTTATTGGTTCTTTGTGAAAGTATATGAACAAATATTACAATCTAATAGAGTAATAGAGCCAGTTACTAGCTCTATTCCATTGTAGTATCTGTAAAAGGTAAATATTAAATATTAAAAAATAATGTACCGGTTGACCTAACTTAAAAAAAAAAAAAATCAGAAAAAAATAATGTACCGGTTGACCTAACTTAAAAAAAAAAAAAATCAGAATTGCATAATTACACATCCATAATGAATGAACTAAAAAGTGAGTAACATAATGTTGTTGTTGAGAATCAAAATTGTTTTTTTTTTAGGACGCGCGTTTTGATGCATAACGACGTCGTTTTTGCATCCGTATGTTTGTTGAGAATCAAAATTATTTTTTTTTAGGACGCGCGTTTTGATGCATAACGACGTCGTTTTTGCATCCGTATCATACTGCATTAAGATGCACAACATAATTTGCCGTTGACCTGGGTCCTTATATTCCAAATAAATATCGTAGACTTTGCTCCCTGTTCTATAAAAACGTGTGGCTTCTACGGTTCTACCAAACTAAGGTCTGGAGTGATGGACCATGTATGTAAACCTACCACTTCTCTCTCGGCCGAATAAATATTCGCATGTGAGTATAATTATAATACATAAATTATTATCACTAAACACTTTTTTCGGTTGAATTTATCACTTAAGATCTTTTTAATGTAGTTTAATTTTTGTATAATTTGTTAATTATTACACATAAATGAGATTTATCTAATGTACACTCTTAAGTAATAGTTGTGGGTTTCTTTCGTAACCCAAAAAAAAACTTGCTTGGCGTTTTCATCTTTTCTTTTTCCCTCTTTGAAAAAACTTTAGCTTAAGCTTCCAACGTAACCTTCCTTATGAAGAACATCCACTTAATTAATAACCCAAATTAATTAATCAGGAATAAAGTTTACAGATAGTATGAGCTAATCGTGACAACCTTACGTTTTGTTTTCATCCATTAAAAAAATTCAGTGGTAGTGATTGAAGTTGATGCCTTGCTTAACTCTCATCTATATTACTATAATATTAATATATGTTGAAAACATTTAAGATGTTTTAAAAAGTGTTCTACCTCTATACATATATAAATACAACAATGTATATCACGGTATATCTCTAATAATTATGGATACTTCTTTTTCCGCATGGTCAACTTTTTTCCGCATGGTCAACTTAGTATAATACATATCCATCTCCACATTGCAAGAAATTAATTTTTTTAGGGGATTTTGTAGATTTTTTAAAATATTTGCGTTATTTCATGTTGCGTGCAGTAATTGCACTCAATGAGTGCATAAAGAGACTTTTTATTTATTTATTTTTAATTTTTTTGTCAATTTTTTCTCTCTTCTCTTCCATTTCGTACTTGAGAAAAAAAATTCTAAAAATAAATAAATAAATAAATAAAAGTTGAAGATGTCCTAAGTTCTAACAATATGAAGATGTCTAAGATTATATTGAATTTATCCCTGCAAATGAACCTCTTTAATTTCAAGCTAATATGGCTACAAAGTTTTTTTTTTTTTTTTTTTTTTTATTTAACACTACAAAAGCTGTCAAATGGCAGCTTTTATATAGTTACTATATTATATTAATATATTATACATGTACAAATTTATTAGAAAAATATATTAATTTATTATTGTGATATAACATTGATTTTACTTTTAAAAGTGAGAGATATATAATATTATTGGAATGTATAAAAAATAGTAAAACAATTGTAAATATGATGATGTAGAAGTAAATTTACTTTTAAAGTATGAGAGTATTAAATTTAGGCTAATAATAATCCAATATGTCCGTCTTTTCATGGCCACATGGCATAGCTGGAGCTAAGTTGGTGAGTTGGAAGAAAATTGTTTTTCATTGAAGATGCTGTAGTCTATACTCTATATATATATATATATATATATACTAGTTTTTTACACGCATTGCGCGATTGAGATAATGCCCAATGTTTTTTTTTTTTAAATAAGTACTTTAAAGTATATTAAGGCAAGATTATATTGAAATTGTTCATGCATAGATAATTGAAGGTTGAATTTGCGTATTTAAATAAGTGATTCTTCTCCCAAAGGTTGAGTCCCCAACCCCAAGGGCCCCCCACACTCCGACCCGACAGAGCATTGTGGGAAGTTTTAAATCACGGTGACTCAATGGTTCAGCAGACAGGGCCAAATGCTGATACGCACAAGGAATCTGCCCACTTTGGACATAATTCCCGCATTGCCGCCGCCGAGGTTCAAACCTTGGTCTCTTCTCCCAAATACTACCCACTAAACCATTGAACTAAGCCCGTGCAGGTTAAATAGGTAATTCTAAGTTTACAAATGCAAGATAATATAGTCAATATTGATTATAATTGTCAATAAAATAATTGTATAGGTATGGTTGAAACCAAATACGGGACATAAGGGAGAACAAATAAAAATTAGGGCATAAAATATTAAATATATACTAATATTGTTTGAGGAGATTCTGACATTAGGATTTGTGGTTAAGTTCTATTAAGACTACTTTAATATTAGAATTAGATTAATGGTGTAGTTATAATTCTATATTAGACTAACGGTGAATTAACGGAAAAGTTAAATGGATAATCATATAATTAAGGATAAATTAGAAAAGGATATGAACCATAAATTAGAAAATCTTAAAAGAAAAAAAATTAAAACCTGAACAATATGAACCATTCATTTGATTTACTAATTTGGCGGTCATTTTTTCTACCCAATGTTAATAATTAAATAAATTCGCTGGTCAAATCCGCTAACGCTAACCGCTACTGCTGATTGTCAAACAAGGACATTGCGATGTAGTTCTCACTTCAATTTGTTGTGTGATTTGAATACTCTCTTTGTCACAAATCTCTCAAGTAGTTAATATGGTTGACTTTATTAATTATATTTTTTTAATTTTTTCATGGTATTAATAAAATACTTGGTAAATAAATATATAGCATTATTTTATGTTATAACTTTGATATTTAATTAGAAAAATAGTGCACAAAAAAAGATAATAGATAATGTAGTGAATATAATCAATTGATGAATTTGAATGTAAAAATTTTTACATTTCAAAAAAATAAAGACAATATAATGAAAATATTTCTTTTAATTAATTTATTAATAATTAATAATTTTTTTACTGAATAAAGACATTGTAAGGACAATGTAGCGAATATAATCAATTAATAAATTTGAATATAAAGAATTTTTATATTGAAGAAAAATAAAGACAATATAACTAATAAAATTATTTATCTTATTTAATTTATTGATAATGAATAGTTTTTTTTTTTTTTTTTGAATAAAGACATTGTGGACACATAATTTTAAATTAAAGAAATGTATATGTATTATTTTTTGTTGTAACTACTAAATTATTATTTATGTAATTTAATAAGAGTAAAATAGCGTACTAATTATGCCAACTTTGTTTGGGATGAGGTTCGAACCTAAGACCTTTTTTTATTGAAATCAATGAGTAAGTTAACGGTGAACTAACGGCAATTCTTAAAATTTTAACGGAATTAGTAACGGTGTGTGGGTATTTTAGGAAATTTTAGTGTAAAATTTAATTCTGATCAATCTTTTAATCAATCTGAGCCATTCATTTGATTAAAATCTGTGACCGCCATTTTTTCTACCCATTATAGGCCTAACTCTCTTGGGCTCTTATTAGTATATAGTAAATATATATATATATATATATATATATATATATATATATATATATATATATATATATATATATATGGTCAAAGTGATAATAGTTGTTTAGATGTACAGGGAGTATAAGAATGATGGATTTGATTTTTTTTTCTTTTTTCTATCAAATCATTATAAATACACCGTATCTTTAAAAAGTTGGTTTAGACAACAAAGTTATACATTTTATTTTATTCAAAGGTAAATGTAATTTTTAAAGATTTTTCAATAATGGTAATGTTTTTAGGATAGAGACTAGAGTGTAGAATTCCAGAATTGATGATATTAAAAAGAACTTTTTTATGTTTAAAAAAAAAAAAAAAAAGAACTTTTTTAAAAAAATTGACTTAAATATTAATGGTGATTAATAAGACGTTATCATTGTGCTTTTTATTTTTAAACCAAAATTTATTATAACCAACAAGATAATCCCAAGAAGCAACGACTAATTGGGCAATGGCCATCCATAGTTTACAATTTGACCGACAATAATGGCAGATTATGATCACCATACAGCCCAGCTGCCGAACCAAACGGTCATAATAGGCCGCCGCCGCCGCGCGACTGAAAGTGGAAGAACAAACCCAATAAGCGACGACTTCATGGTTGTTGCAGCGGTCAACACCATCCCAATAATAGTTGTGCCCTTTCTTATCTGTCCACGACACGACAAATTTTAATGAGGTTTATAAACGTAGTGGCCACGACACATTTGATTGAGCATTCCTCCGATCCCACCATTGCTGGCTAGCTTACTGCTTGCCATGGCACCCAAATCTCCACCGCCCTTTCCTCTTTACGAAACCAAAGTTCGGAACAATGCGGTTTCACGAGCGGTGGAGGTCGTCATTCTTCTGCTTCTCCTCTCGCTCATCGCCTATAGAGTTTGGAATCTCCATAGCCATGGCTACTACTACACTTGGCTCTTGGCCCTCGTGTGCGAGTCTTGGTTCACTTTCATTTGGGTTCTTGTGGTCAGCACCAAGTGGAATCAGGTTGAAACCACTACTTACCCAGAACGCTTCTTGGAATGGTAACTTTAATTTTTGTGGTTTTCTTGCTTGGGTTACGTTTTAGGAATGTTCATCAATTCATTGTGATGAGTATTTTTAATTAATTTGTGTTTTTAGGGTGGAGAATGGGAGCTGTGAGTTTCCGGCGGTGGACATGTTCGTCACGACGGCCAACCCGGAGCTGGAGCCGCCGATTCTGACGGTCAACACCGTGCTGTCGCTGTTGGCACTGGAATATCCGGCGAACAAGCTAGCTTGTTACGTCTCAGACGACTCTGCATCCCCTGTTACCTTCTATGCTCTCGTCGAAGCCTCCAAATTCGCTAAGCTCTGGGTTCCCTTTTGTAAGAAGTACAACGTCGCCGTGAGAGCTCCGTTCCGGTACTTCAACGCCGACCACACATTCCCGCCGGAAAGCTCCCCGGAATTCCGACGTGAATGGAAGAAAATGAATGTACGCGCGCGCATTATAACATTTTATTTACAATCCATCCCTGCAACGTAACTGTCATGTTGATTCTCGTGTACTGTGCAAATTGCAGGATGAATATGCAAATCTGTGTGGAAAGATCGAATATGCCACCCAAAAACCCTCCCTATTCAACAAATTCGCAACTTTTGCAGATCTTGATCCCAATGACCATTCTACAATCATAAAGGTATTATTATAGATTGGGTAGAACTATATATATATATACACATATATTCGTTAAGATTGATCAGTGACAGAATGTGAAACATGAATTGATTACAGGTAATCTGTGAGAACGACGAATCTTTGGCTGTCGGTGTGCCTCACCTAATCTACATCTCCAGAGAAAAGCGTCCAAAGCATCAACATAATTTCAAGGCTGGCGCCATGAATGTTTTGGTAATTACCATATGTATTACAAACCCAAATCATAATGACTTCAATGTATAAACATGACGAGACAATTATTTTAATTTGTTACAGACGAGAGTGTCAGGAGTGATGACAAATGCACCATTTATGTTAAATGTGGACTGTGATTTCTACGTAAATAACCCAGAAGTAGTGCTCCACGCTATGTGCTTTTTGCTTGGCGCAAAGGATGAAAGGGACACGGGATTTGTACAATTTCCTCAGACTTTTTACGATGGATTGAAAGATGACCCTTATGCGAGTCAGTATAAAATCATATATCATGTAGGTGAAAACCTCTGCATTTTTCATATTTATTTTGCTTTTAATTGAACATTAATTATTATTAAGTTTCATATATCCAATTTGTTGTTTTGTTTGTGAAGTGTTTGGGGAGAGGAAATGCTGCAATTCAAGGATCATTTTATGATGGGACCGGCTGCTTCCATAGACGGAAAGTAATCTATGGTTTATCGCCAAATGACACCGTCACTGCTGGTATGCAACTTCAATCCTATAAGCAATTGTGAAATTTGTTTTAAATTTTGTTAGTTGCCCAAAAAAAAAAAAACAAAAAACAAAAAACTTTTAACGTTTTTAATTGCATTTGTTTGGTTTTAGAAAAATTGACAGACCATGACCTACAGAAGATATATGGAAAATCAAAGATATTCGTAACGTCAGCAACCACTACCTTATCAGGATCGTTAAGTTCAGAGACGTTCGGTGTTCTTTCATATTCCCTTGAGGCGGCATCCCAAGTTGCCAATTGCGGTTATGAATTTGGCACAACTTGGGGCCATAATGTAAGTAATTTTTATAATAATTAAGTAGAAAAATGTTTATTACACTAGGAATAGGATTGATTGAGTTGATAATCCTATTGGTCAACGTATGATCTGAGTGGATTGTGATAGAAGATTTTGTTGATGTATTATATTGTAGATTGGATGGCGGTATGGATCTGTGACGGAAGATATTCTGACCGGAATTGGTATTCAAAGAATGGGTTGGAAAACCGGGTTCTGTGTGCCGGAGCGGCCTGGTTTCCTGGGATGTACACCGTCAACCGGGCTGGGCTCGTTGAACCAAATGAAGAGATGGGCCTCTGGCCATACGGAAATACTATTTAGCATGAAATGCCCAATATTTGCTGCCTTATTTGGGAACCTCCAGTTTAGGCAATGTTTGGCCTATATGATCTCTATACTTTGGCCTGTGCGCCCCATTTTTGAACTATGCTATGCTTTTCTCCCACCTTATTGCCTCATCACCAACTCTCACTTCCTACCAAAGGTATAACCACACAATTTTATGTTTTTCACAACCATATAACATACCAAATATTTTTTTTGGTCATCTGGTCAGACGGTTGACTTGGTAACCATAATGTTCTAACTCCTAGCGGAACGACCTATTGGCCTTCTTAGTTTGGGAAGATCTGTTATGAGTAACTTAAGTTGGTTTCTGTGCAGGGAAATGAAGTGGCCATTGTTATACCTGCGTCTATTTTCATCATATACAACTTGTACACTCTATGGGAATACATGGAAGAAAAGGAGTCGATACGAGCATGGTGGAACAACCAAAGAATGTGGAGAATAATGTCTTCAGCTTCATGGTTATTCGGATTTCTTACTGTGATGTTTAAGCGTTTAGGATTCTCCGAAACGGTATTTGAAGTCACAAAAAAAGATGAAGATCATACACAGGACAAAAAGTCCAACACTGGATTTACGTTCGATCATTCGCCGTTTTTTGTCCCTGGTACAACCATTTTGTTGGTGAACATGGCAGCTCTGTTTATTGGATTGTGGAGATTTACACAGCAGGGAAAAGCGGAGTGGGGTGTGGGTGAAGTAATTTGCAGCTTCTGGGTAATACTAATGTTTTGGGCATTTCTCAAAGGCTTGTTTGGAAGTGGAAAAGATGGGATTCCATGGTCAATAATTTTGAAGTCTGGGGCTCTGGCGTGTCTTCTTTTACACTGTTGCAAATCTGTATATTGACAATTATATCAAGTTATAATAATTAGTAGCAAGATTGCTTATACTATGAATTTTTTTCAACTAAAATTCTAAGTTCAGAATTGAATCACACATATTAGGAGCGTTTAATTAAAGTTGAATTTGTAGACATATTAACGTACACAGATCCATTTTCCAGACTCAGATTAGCTTGCCTTTTTGGCAGCTACGACAGAACCAGAAGACACAGAAATGGAGTCATATCTCTGCAAAACGTAAGCCACAAACAAGGAAGCCGTAAGAGTGACGATATCTTTGCCGGCGCACTGTTTGTTCGCCGCAGTGGGCATCCCAGTCTGCGGCCCATTCGACCAATACAAATAGTTCAACAACTCCTTCCCCTTCTCCTGCGTAAACCTCTCCACCACAAAATCCTCAGGATTGTCGAACACCTTTGGGTCCACCATAACCAACGGCTGAAACCCGCACAGGAGCTCTCCTTTCTTGATGTCGTACACCGAGTCGTGAGAACTCAGCTGGAAATCCTTCCTGGCTCGCGCGAACTGACTCGGAACCGGCGGGCTGAGTCGGAGACTTTCGTAGACGAATGATTGGACGAGTTCCATTTCCTTGATTTTCTCGAAACTTAAATTGTCGGGGTTGGTGCCGGCTTTCTCCCGGACTTCGTTTCTCAGCTTTTCTTGGATACCCGCGTTCTTCTCGTCTCCGAGATTGCCCAGGAGGACAGGGAGAAAGATGGAGAACCCTCCGAAGGCGTTGAAGCCGAGAATGAAGAGGAGGTTGTGAACGGCTTCTTTCTCGGTGAGTTGGAACTCGGTCACGCCGCGGCTCAGCACCTCCGACGCCTCTTTCTCCACGAAATCAACCAGTTTCTGGTAATCTCCTTTGACGAGGAAGAAAGGGTAGGAGAAAGAGTGGAGGAAAATCTCTACCAAGGGTTGGAGAACGGGGATATTGACGGTGGGGGCTAGCTGGATAGCCAGCCATTTGTCGAGCATGATGGCGCCGGAGCTGGCGATTTCCGGCGACTTGGATACGTCGGCTCCGAGGAGGGTGAGGGCGAAGAAGCTGAAGAGGAAATTTTGGAGCGGAGATAAGACGCCGGCGGAGCCGGATTTTGCAAGCTCGGCGTCGATGGATCCCCACATCGTGTCTAGCTTGCTTGTAAGCGTCGGAACCCATGTAGCTGAGCTTCGTTTCAAGATGTCTACTGCAAAGTTCTTGACCTGCCATTGCCATTATTGAAGCTTCAAAAATTAGTCTTCATCATTACTACGGTATAGCATATTATATTATTATAAAAATATTTATATCATCATCATTAAAAAAAAAAAGAAAAAAAGTCGTAGTTCCTTTTGTTTTGAGTTAACCAGTGTAAATTAGGTTAGTATAAAATAAAGTAAAAATAAGAATATAATATTCTAGAAGTTAGTATATATGTGACAGTGTGACAAATGTAATATGGATGTTGCTAAAGACTATTCAAACAGGAAAATTAAAATCTTGAAGATAAATGGAGATTTTTTTTTTCTTTTTGATATTTCAGATTTTCTTAATTTGTCTAACTATATTCTAGATTTTGTATTTTTAGTAAAATTTCTATATGTATTATTAAAAAAGAAAAGAAAACAATAAAAGTTGTTATAAACTTTTTGTTTGCATTAGGTGATAGGTAAGTATAAAATAAAGTATAAAAGTAAGAATACATTATTTTAGAAGTTTGTATATATGTGGCAATGTGATCCAGGACCACAACAATTCAAACAGAAGAAAAACATGATGAAAAATGAAGATATTTTTTGTTTAATAATTTAGCTTTCCCGACAATGTTGAAGGTACTATATTCTAGATTCATGAATTCAAAGGAGGTAAACGAGTCAATTTAATTTTGTTTAAATGTCAAACTGTAAAAGATCGAACTTTCACCCTACCACAGGAAACAAGTCTTACGCGAGAGTTAATTTAGTTTTGAGACACACCTTGCGAATTGAAAAATTGAGATATTTAAATTTGTGTCATGAAAAGTCTAAGGCTAATGTTAACACTGAGTGATTTGACTGTTCACTAGAAAGTGACATTTTTGGCTTATTTGCCTGCATTTATATAACAATGGTATCATATCTACTGACTCTTGTCTAATTACAATTACAATAATATAATAATAACTACTTGAAATAATTTGTTTTCCAATCGCTAACCAAAAACATGGTACTTCTGACATAAATACAAAATTCTCTATACTATACAAGACTCCAGACTTAGCTTATTTGAAAAATTATATATGTAACTTAGTATAAAATTAGATAAAATGCTTTTATAGATATATCAGATGATAAAATCTATGTTATTTACTCAAAATCTAGTAGAAAAAAACACGAATTCGAGCGCCGGCAAGTATGGTGTACGGCTGCGATGCTTGTTTTACAGATCTATGATGATACCCGCCGGAAAATTAGATATAAATTAAATCTTGGGAAAAAAAAAAGAGTAAGATCGAGTTTATATATATATATACCTGAGTGTGCTTGGTCTCAGAAGTGTCGAGATAGGCGCAGACCCGCATGTCGCCGGTGAAGCTAACGCTGGGCATGAAGTCTCCGACGAGAACATTGGACTTCTCCACCAGGTCCATATCGAAAAGGTGGGAGAAAGACTTGACGTCGAGGACGGCGATGACGTTGGGGTTAACGCCGAGGAAGAAAGGGAAAGTGGGGGGAACGTTGGTCCTGAAAACCGTGCTCTTGTTCTTCTCAATTCTGCTCTTGAAGAAGGTCTTGGGGCCCTGGAACCAGAAATAGTCCAGCCGGTCTGATAACGGCCCTAACAAAGGCCACCCGTGACTGCCGGGAATTGTACGGACCGGTAGCGATGTTGCCGGCGATGGTGTTGTCGTTAGCGGCGGTGTCGATGGTCCCCGCGGGATGGCGCTCATCATGCTGAATACCATTGCAGATTTTTTATTTTTTTGGACAATAATGCCCTCTAGCTGTCTTCCAAAATGAAGCTAGGCTGGGTTATCAGAAAAATAATTGGGTTGTTTTTATACACAAATGTATATTGGCATTATCTGCAAAAATGTGAATCATGTTCTACAATGCAATTTATGGCCATATTATATCGGAAAATTATACAATGGAGTATGATTTATCTTTTATTGTGAATCCTAATCCAAAATAACAATCAAATTATGTATATGCAGTAAAAATATTATATATCTATAAATCAATCGAAGATACATAATATATTAAGAGTTAATACCATCTGAGGTCCTCCGAGTATAGTGGTTTTGCCACGTTTAGTCCTAAACTTTCAAATTGACCATCTATGGTCCTTCGACTTTCAAATTTAACCATTCGTGGTCCAAGTTAACCACATATGGTCCTTCAAGTTTCGAAATTTAACCAGTCGTGGTCCTCTTGAAAGGACCATGGTTGGTTAAAATTTAATAGTTGAAGGACCATGGATGGTTAACTTGGACCACGAATGGTTAAATTTGAAAGTCGAAGGACCACAGATGGTCACTTTGAAAGTTTAGGACTAAACGTGGCAAAACCACTATACTCGAAGGACCTCAGATGGTATTAACTCATATATTAACTACAGATACATAAATTATTAATTGCATATACATAATATGTTAACGGTTGTAATTGTAATAAATACATAATTTATTAATTGCATGTACATAATATGTTAAACGTAGTAGGTATAAAATTTATTAACTAAAGACATTTCACTGCACATACATAATTTGAATATTCTGTTAGATTAAGATCCACAATGCAAGGTAGACATTATCAATGATATAACAATTGATATTATATCTTGCTCAATTTTATTTTGGTGTTGGTGTTGTGTTGTCCAGCCCAATAAATATATAATGGAGTACTATGTATAAAGTTCAAGTTTGGTAGATTGGGTACTAAAGCCCAATAAATTTATTGGGACAGTTCTAAAACCAATCGTTATACTATGGACCATGTTCCTAAACAAAGTAGTTTCGAATTTTAATTTTGACGTAATTATTTATTGGTTAATTCATGTTATATTTTATTTTTTAAGATAAGGGTCGAATAGATTCTCTAACTATAAATCAAAGTGCAATTAGACCCTCGAACTAAAATAACCTCCAATTAAACCCTTAAACTTATTAAATTTATACAATTAACTTATTTGACCTATGATAGTATGTTACTTCTAGGTCACATGCCACATAAGATGCCACTTAGATTAACATTTTTTTAAAATTATATTTTATAAATATTAAAATAATAATTTTTATTCATAAAAAGTTAAATTAAATTAAATTAAAAAAAAAAAAAAAAAAAAAAAAAAAAAAAAAAAAACATGGCAGCCTAGCCGCCATGGCTTCTTGTCCATGGCAGCTGCTGCCATGGACGAAGAATCCATGGGGCAACTCCACGGAAGCTGCTGCCATGGACAAGAAGCCATGGGGCAACTCCATGGAAGCTGCTGCCATGGCTTCTTGTCCATGGCAGCAACTGCCATGGACAAAGAATCCATGGGGCGCTGCCATGGACAAAGAATCCATGGGCATCTCCATGGCAGCTGCTGCTATGGCTTCTTGTCTCTTGCAGAAGTCCGCCATGGCAGTTTGAAGAAACTTAATGGAGATGATTTTTTTTAAAGGAAATTAATTTTTAAAAACTTTAATTTAATTTTTGTTTATTTTTAAATAGAATTTTACAAGTTATGTAAGCAAAGTTTACAGGTTACCTTTCGGTAACCTATTAAATAAGTTAATTGCACAAATCTAACAAGTTTATGGGTCTAATTGAATGTCTTTTTAGTTTAAGGGTCTAATTGAACATTGATATATAGTTGGAGGGTCTATTTGACCCTTATCCCTTATTTTTTTAATAACTGAAAAGTATGTGTATATGTTCTGTCTTATGCGTTTCTATGTCTCATGTAATGTAATTATGTACCTTGTGCATATAGATTTTGTACCTGAAATAAAGTAAATATACATGTGCTTTTATGTCCCCGCAAATGAGAACAAAGCTGTATTTATAACCGAAATTTTTCTTCGTGTCACGCGGTAATGGACCGTGTGACCAATAGAAGCAGCTTGCAGAAGTTGGTCGGTGTCACGAGCTGCATCACATGGTAACTTATGGCGTGATTCTGACCTTGAATATGTCCAAATCGGAATTTGTAGTCTCTAGAAAAGTTATAGCTCTTTGAATTTCCGTTTCAATGCCACTTGAATCATCTAATTTGGACACTCTTAGGCCAAGATATAATCAAAATACCAAACTGTTGTCGAAGTGCACTTGAAAAGGCATTGTTTTCTTATATTGCACAAATATAACTACAATTAATTCTTATTTATAACTTTAATCAAAATAAGCTATTCTAAGCATATATGATATCAAACGACTCCAATTATAGCCCAAAATTCCTTCCAAATATCCCATAAAATATTGGCCCTGTTTGGTAAAATGACTGTTAGCTGATAGCTGTTTGCTGTTAGCTGATTGTGTTAATTTGAGGGTATAAATAGTTGATAACATTAGCTGATTATAAAAAAATTGTTTGGTAAATTAGCTATTAGCTGATAGCTGTTTGGTATAATTTCTTTTCTCAAAAAGCTAATTGAAAAAGTTGCTTGGAGTAGCTTTTTGTATTTTAACCTTTTGGAGTTGCAAAAAAGCTAATTAACGAAACATTTATATTGATATTTTAACTAAATCAAACAATTAATAGTGGTCAAATAAGTCAAAATTAACCTATAGGCTAATTTTTTACCAAACAGGGCCATTACATCATTGACACTTATCAGCGTGTCATAATATATACCTTAAGAAAAGACAATCATGCATCAACCACAATTATTGCTGCCTGTCGTGAAATATCTGCAGCAAATCCTTACAAAATACTAAAATGCATGCACAAAACATGTAGCATGGCACTACGTGCCGCCTACGTGGAAATGTGGAATGTACTTGCCTGGCCACCGCAACATCCATTATTACCCCCATTATATAATTCTTTGGTTAATTAGCTTTTTGCATCTCTAAAAGACTAAAATTTAAAAAGCTATTCTAAGCAATTTTTTCAATTAACTTTTTGAGAAAAGAAATTATACCAAACAGCTATCAGCTAATAACTAATTTACCAGACATTTTTCTACAATCAGCTAATGTTATCAATTATTTATACTCTCTAATTAACACAATCAGCTAACAACTAACAGCTAACAGCCCATTTACCAAATAGGGCCTATATATGTTTAAACAAAATGGATTTTAGCGGTAGAATGCGTTTATAGTTATCATTTCAAGTGTATATAATTAATATGTTATATCCTTAATTTATTTATAGGCAAATAAACCGTTGATGGTATATACAAAATATGTCAATTACAAACATAATTTTTGGACTATGGTCCATAATACAAAATGGACCCTGTTCCATAACATAACCAAGGGCGGACACAGAAAATCATTTGAGTAGGGATGAAGTTCAAAATAAGTTAGAAATGTAAATGACAAAAGTCAAGTTAGAAATCATCAAGGGGAGGGGGGAAGTCATTTTCCGTTTACAGCAGTGGAGCAGTCAATCACTCGCCGCCGCCACCACCACCACCAACCCACCCACCACGTACCACCCACCACCACCACCACTATCATTGTATATTTTAAATATTTAAAATTAAAAATAATTATGCTCATTTTTCATAAAATGAACGAAACACACCAAGACAATTTTCTGAAGTGCAACCAAACACTGAAAAAGAAATTTTTTTCTGGAAAATGAATCATTTTCCAGAAAAAATTTTCTTGCTTTCCAAACACACCCTTAAAATAAAATAGAAAATCTAAGGGTAAGTACTGCTAGTGAGATTTGGACCTATGTGGTATTTGATATCAAATTTAGAGTTTCAACCAACTAAATTATTTAAATATTTAATAATTTATATATAAATTTAAATTTTATATATAATTTAATGCTACACACACACACACACACACACACACACACACACACACACACACACACACATATATATATATATATATATATATATATATATATATATATATATATATATATATAAGGGGTGGAGTGGAGGCAACTGCACACCAGGCCACTGTTGGAAATTATGAAATTTCCGACCACCTGAAAGTGATCTTATATCAAGTCGAAAGTAAAAAGTGGTCGAAAATAGCAACAAAGATTTTTCCGGATACCAAAAGTGATCGGAACAAGACTTTCGACTTGATTTAATATCATTTTCAGATGGTCGGAAATTCTATAATTTCCAGCAGTGTTTGAGTCTGCTGCTGGGTATAACAATTGATGGAGCTTATATTCAACATCTTAGAGTACTTCAGATAGCTTGAGAAAATTCTTTTGTATTGTGCTTTATTGTAAGTTTCAAGAAATTATTTTATTATTCCTCATAAATTTTTTATTGGGTTAGACACTCTTTATAAATGATGCACATATGAAAAATCTTGCAATTGGGTGGTTTGAGTTTATTATGCAGTGATACTAGATTGTGGTTACAATTTGTAAATGAGTTTCTAAAATTGTGTAAACTATATAGTTATTTTGTATTTTATTTCTTAAATTTGTCATAGTGAATCTGACAAGCAATAATTATATTATGCTGAGTGGTTAAATAATATTGCAATGTGATTTCAACCAAAAAAAATATTGCAATGTGATAAAGATAGAGTGTAATGTCATTTTCTAGAGATGGTAGGTTATGACACGTAATATGTGATAATAAATAATAAGACATTAATCTTAGAAAATACTCTTAGTACGCTACAAGTTAAGCAATTGAAGACTAGTCAATGACAATAACAACTAAGACAAGATATACACATTATCAAGAGAATATATAACGCAAAGTAAAAGAAAAATAACTCAAGCTAGGAAACATTATATTCTAGATGCAATAAATCTATAATATTGGGGAATAACTCATAACAAGGAATTGAAATGATACACATAGTATCCTAGTCTACGAGTCACTCTCATTAATAGATAAACAAAGATTAGAACTAGAAATTGCCAACTCTCGTGATTTATCAATCCTAAGCTCGTCAAGCACACAGAACATCAAAGCCCCCAATATTCTCTATTTTTTATAGTAAAAAAATATGAATTATTTAAAGAGTGTCTTGAAATTTTGACCTAACTCTGATCTCATTATTGTAGCTAAAATACATGCTAATGAATGTGGTCATCGAACATTAACAATATATCATCACAAACTCTTTGTAATCTCAGATAATATAACCTGCTTAGATTAGATTTTTTTTTTTTTTTTTTTTTTTTTGCAATATTCGCAAATAGATCAGAGCGTCACTAATCACAAATCGAGCGTATTTATGGCAATCTAGTCACCTAGTGCTTCTAGCCATTTTTTGAGAATTTTGAGAGGGGTTTATCTACCATTCCCTTTTCTTTTAACGGTAATATAATAGATAAATCTTTAATTTAACGAGCTTCAAAAATACAACTCTATGCATCACAAGAAGTCACAATTTTTGTATCAACTTATTAATTAATTAAATAATTATATATGCATACGCACAAAAAAAAAAAAAAAAAAAGTTTAAAAGACCATGTGACAAGTATTATTAGAACTGCAGAACGTATACAATAAGAAGAAATTAACTCAAAGTAAAGAAAGTTCGATCAATATTTCACACCGTACCAACTTATATAATTTTAATATTTTATAAACACACGATAATACCGGGTGCTCCATATTTTTGTCGACAACAATAAATAACAAGATACACGTAGACAATTCGTACGTTGACATGCAGTTAACATCAAAGTGAAACTACCACATATAAATTAAATGCATTGAATTTTGGGACGATGAAGTTCATCACTTCATTAAGCAGTTTTCAAGCTCTTTCACAAACTTCCCCATTGCAATCGCCGGCAAGCACATCGGAACCAGTATCCCATGGTCGCCTTTGTTATCTTCATATGGTATGTAAAAGGTTATTAAGCCGGGAATACCACCCACACCTCCGTGAGCCGGCCCACCAAAAACCGACTGGCCCCATCCCATATCTATTTCTGGGAATCCAACACGAGTAACATCTGACACAATAAAAGTCCCTTGCAAAGTGAACGTTGGCCGTCCCTTAAGGATCATCAAGTCGGCTACCGATTTAATGTACTCTTCGGTAAAGCTAGATTTTATGTTTGTGACCAACTCGAGTGCGTGAGACAATGGACTTTTGCTCACTTTGCCCGCAGTTGATTTTGCTCCTGGATAAACAAAAGCATTGCCATAGTAGCCATTTGGAACCGGGGGATTTTTTAACCTAGGACGTGCGTTGACTGTGCCAAAGATCCGAACCTCATCGTTGGGGTCGAATTCCATGGCAATGGTACGGCAGCGCCAAAGACAAGCTGTTACCACCTCGAACCTGGAACATTTGAGCAAATGGGGTGGGAGAGAGCTACGTAAGGCCGAAATCTCAGTAGGTCCGAAGAAGAAAGAACGATGGACGAGGTTGTCGAGTGGAATGTTTGCTCCCGTTGAATCTGCCGGTACCTCCTCAAACTCATAATGTGTGCATGTTATGCGGGGAGGGTTACGGGCGTCGAAAAACTCCCGTTGCCATACTGGATAAACCGATGGAGCTTCTGCACCTCTTGCAATTTCGGCTATGGTATTCAAGAAGTGGACTAGTCCACAGGCATCAGACATGGAGTGATTTAGGCGTAAAGCAAAAATGAAACCCCCACACCTTAGACGAGTCACCTACAAAATATTGCGCAATGATGTTTTTTTAGTCACTTTTGATTTGTAGTAACCATATTTTTCAACTAATTTTTAGTAAAGTCATAAACCAATTAAACTGATTGAAATTAAATCAAAAAAATAACAAAAGAAAAATATGAAGAGACAAAAATGTCTTTACTAAAAATAGAAAAAAAAATCATGAGAAAGACTAAAAGTGTCCAAAAATAATAGTCTGCGATGTAAAATAACAAAAACAAATAGTCTGAAACTAAATTTAGAATTGTCATCAAAGACAAGGAACCTCCCACAGAATTAACTCTTAATTAGGTGTAATTCTCTTGACTATCACGACTCCATCCATATCCTTACCCACGATCTACTCCCACAAACCAATTGAGTTGTAGGTATATATATAGTTACCTGTATAAGGAACAAAGGGCAGTTGAGAATTTCAGCAGAACCAGGAACATTATAAAGAAGTTGATCAAAACACGGAAATGGAGGCTTGAGTTCACCTCCAACGGCAAAGTGTTGGAGTGTGGCGTCAGCATCAGCCTCGATGAACATGACGCCCTCACCGGTGCAATCCACCATCAGCTTCCGTCCAGGTCCCTCCCGGAGTCTACCGGCGAAGGGGTAGAAAAAAACAAGTGCTTTAGCTAAAGCTTGACGTATAACCTGCACGGGGTCCTTCCCACTCATGGAAGGTTCATTGCGGTAAAAATGTATAAATGGAACTTGAAACCTCAGACCTTGTTGGTCATCAATGTTGGAAAGGTACTTGATTTCGCGTGGAGTCGGCTCTGCCGGAGCAACAAGCTCAGGCTTTTGCCTTGTCACAGTGAAGGCTAAAGATGGTTGAGAAGCCATAAATGGAGATAAGGTCATCATCACTCTTCAGGTATAAAAGAGTGGCGCGCGTATCCTTAGTTTAGTTCAGTTTAGTACGTGTGGCAGTTAGTATTATATGATTTTGTTGGTATATCAGATGATATTTATAGTAGTGATAAACTGATTGATGAAGGCCGGGTAGACATGACATGGGAGTACATATATTATTTTACATGTGAAAAATATGCATGCGAAAATTGCATATATCTACCAACAAAGATTGAATGGTTGGAGTTCCCAAGTGTACATGGACTAACATGGACCACAATTCATATATAGGAATATCCAAGTTATTATTACACATTTTTAAAATTATCGGAAAATCCAAGTTTGATAATGTATATCCATTTGCATCTCTCGTAATTAAATATATAATAATATAGAGGGAAAGTAACAAATAAGTGAATCTTAAAATTTGGAAAAAATACTCTAATATATTTTGGGCAACCTCAACTAAGTTTATCATGTTGTTGATTCGAGAATCACAACGTTTTAAGTTTGATTATTGTTAAGAGTAGTTGCGTCACAAGACTAGATTTATCCAACGCACACCATTGACAATTACTATACCATGGACCAAGATCCACATTGCAAGGTGGACCCGGGTTCAAAATACACAATTTGCATACTGAAGGTTCACAATTTACATAATAAATGTTCACATGTACAATTTACCTTTTACAAAATTGTGAGCATTCAGTATGTCAATTGTGTTTTTGACCCGAGTCCACAGAATAATTTGTCCACCATTGATTAGTCCATCAGTGAGAGTGGATTTCCCTCCACATCTAAAATTATTAAATTAATTTTTTGTTTTACCAGGGATATCTAATAATTAATATATAATGTATAATTATATTACTATTTATAATACATAATTCAAATTTTGATTTAATTAATATTAGAATTGAATTTATATTTATGAAAATAAACATTCAATTTAATTAGGGCAAAAACTTGTGTGCGACTGTTTCATATGTTCTTCTCTGTGAGATGGATCGGGCCAAGATTAAATGTAATACTTATACTAGCAAATGTAATACTAATTTGGAATAAAGTGTTTATATTACTTATAAGAGAAAACGTAATACTTTTGATGACAACTGTAATACTTTTACATTTTGATATAAAAGTATTATTTTTTCTTATCAAAAGTATTATATTTTCTCTTATTACATTTACATATTGATACAGCTTGACTCAATCTGTCTCAAAAATAAAGATTCCTGAAACCATGTTACACTGTACTGAACCCTGCAATTATATCAGTTGCAAGACACGGAAATCTTGAAGCATCTTCGGAATCCCAGTGAATGGAGCCATCAAAAGTGACATTACATCATAGCTTGGCTGTAACGCTGTACTGAAACCTGCAATTATATCAGTTGCAAGATGAGGTGTTAAAATTTTTCATGATTTTAATTTTTTTTTTTAAATTACCAATTTGTTGCAAGTTTGTAATACTGCTTTTTTTTTTTCTTTTTTTTTTTTGCTTGATGTAAAAGTAACAATTTTATGTAATTGAGACTCACATTGAAAGTGGATTAGAGTTGCGGGAGTGAAAAGAAATAGTAATAGAATTATAAACTTAATAATATGCGAGAAAAACTTACAGAAATAAAGATTGCGCCTAATATAAATACAAATATAAATTATATGTTTTCTGTTACCAAAATAGAAAATATTTCAGAAAATGTTTGACTTCTCTCTCTCTCTCTCTCTCTCTCTCTCTCTCTCTATATATATATATATATATATATATATATATATATATATATATATATATATATATATAGAGGGACGCACTCAGGTGCGAATAAGTGCCCAGGAAGGAAATGCGAACGAATCAGCGCGCGACACGTGTCCAGATCTAATAACTTAAAAAAAATGCAGTGGCATTTTCGTAAATAATTGAACATCGAAGTGCAAGTAAAATCTCTTATAAGTGCACCTATTTTCACCTATTAGTGCATGTAATTTTGCCTTGTTAGCATTCACTTTCCGCAACCATTCATGCACCTAGGTGTGCTTATAACTATATGTGCAACTATTTATAACTATAGGTGCAACTACTTATAACTATATATGCACCTACTTTCACCTATAAGTGCATGTAATTTTGCCTTGTTAACATTCATTGATCTGAGTTCGCGGGTAGTAATACTCCTGAAAACCACTCGCAAACATTCATACACCTAGATGCAACTACTTATACCTATGTGTGCAACTACTTAGAACTATTGGTGCAACTACTTAGAACTATAAGTGCAACTAAGTATTGATGCTCAGTGTAAATTTTTACTTGCACCTATAATACATTTTACATGCACTTGTAATACATTTTACTTGCACCTCGATGTTCAATTATTTACGAAAATGCCACCGCGTTTTTTTTAAAAATCAGTGTTTCTCATCCATTAGATCTGGACACGTGGACGAACAGAATCCATTCCTATTTCGCGCCTGGGCGAGCCGTTCGCACCCGAGTGCAAGTCTATATATATATATATATATATATATATATATATATATATATATCTACTATACTAATAAAAGCCCAAGAGAGTTAGACCTATAATGTGTAGAAAAAATGGCGGTCAAATTTTTTAATCAAATGAATGGCTCAGATTGATTAGATTTAAATTTTTCCTTAAGATTTCCTAATTTATCCTTAATGAATATGATTATCCGTTAACTTTTCCGTTAAATATTATTTTTTCTATTAATTTATGTTAGTTCACCGTTAACTTACTCATTGATTTCAATAAGAAAGGGCTTAGGTTCAAACCTCATTTCAATCAAAGTTGGCATAATTAGTACTCTATTTTACTCATATTAAATTAAATAATAATTTAGTAGCTACAACAAAAAATAATACATATGTATTTCTTTAATTTAGAATTATGTGTCTACAATGTCTTTATTCAAAAAAATTTATTCATTATCGATAAATTAGAAAAATAATTTCATTAGTTATATTGTATTTATTTTTCTCCAATATATAAATTTTTACATTCAAATTCATCGATTGATTATATTCGCTACATTGTCCCTACAATGTCTTTATTAAAAACAAATTATTCAGTATCAATAAATTAATTAAGAGAAATAATTTTATAAGTTATATTGTCTTTATATTTATCCAATGTAAAAATTCTTTACATTCAAATTCATCAATTGATTATATATTCGCTACATTGTCTATTATCTTTTTTTGTCCACTATTTTTAATTAAATATCAAAGTTATAATACAAATAATGTTATATATTTATTTACCAAGTATTTTATTAGTACCATGAAAAAATTAAAAATATATATATAATTAATAAAGTCAATCAAATTAACTACTTGAGGGATTTGTTGCCAATCATATTAGCGAATTTGACCAACGAATTATATCAACGGTTGGTAAAAACATATTTGAAAAAATTAGCTGTTTAGATTAACAAATTTAAATAAACAAATTAGACATTAAATTACTTATGTTGAACTTCTTATATATAATCTTGATATACTTTCAAATATTTATTTAATTATAAACATTGGGTAGAAAAAATGATCGTCAAATTATTAAATCAAATGAATAGTTCAGATTTTAATTTTTACTTGAGATTTCCTAATTTATCATTAATTATATTATTATCCGATCCGTTAATTTTTTCATTAAGTACCTTTAATTCACCGTTAGTCAACTTCTAATATTAAAGTCTAATATAGAATTATAACTACAACATTAATCTAATTCTAATATTAAAGTCTTAATATAACTCTAACCACAAATCCTACCGCCGGAATCTCCTCAAACAATATTAGTATATATTTAATATTTTATGCTTTAATTTTTATTTGTCATCCCTTATGTCCCGTATTTGGTTTCAACCATACCATACAATTATTTTATTGACAATTATAATCAATCTTGACTATATTATCTTGCATTTGTAAACTTAGAATTGCCTATTTAAATACGCAAATTTAACATTCAATTATCTACGCATGAAAAATTCCAATATAATCTTGCCTTGATATACTTTAAAGTACTTATTTAAAAATATATATATTGGGCATTATCCCAATCGCGCAATGCGCGTAAAAAACTAGTATATATATAAAGGGGTTAGGGGAGGGGGGTGAATGGGGGCAGCTGCCCCCATTGTCCTCATTGTATGTAGATCCGCCAATGAGCATTGATGTTGGTCCCTAGCAAGCAAAAAGTTTAGGGGGAGTTGAATAGACTTTTTAACAATTTAAAATCCTTTTTGAGTTAGAGTTTGAATTCATCAAAGCTAGGAAACTAAGTTTTCTTACCGGCGAAGTCTTTAAGCTTGCCAAATAAATTATGTAGCTAAGTTTGATGATTTGAAGTGTAAGTGTGTGTAAGTATGGGATTAGTTGCATAGTAGAGTAATGAAAATGAGAGCAAGTCAGATTTTTATAGTGGTTTCAAATATATAATTTTAATTTTTTACTTCGATCCGTTCTTCTCCTTAAATCGAATGAAGTTTCCTTTGTGTTTTGCACAATTGCATACTATATAAAGTGGCACGAATCCTCAACTTCTACTGGTTGACAATTCTTGAGATATGGGTCAATCACCAATGCAGAATTAGTCAAGAGTCACACACCAAGTGGTCTTGCTAGGTTGATCTCCCAACTTCCTTTGAGTGAGAGAGGTTGAGTTTTACTGCATCTCACTGAGGACATTGTCAATCCTACAAGCCACAAATTCCAAAAGATTTTCATGAGGAAGAAGTGGTATAAATTTAGCCCAAAGTCAATAATGAGTTTTACAAGCAATCCCCTGAAGAAGACGAACCTATTGAAGACTGGGATTTCGTGGCATGAACCCTCACTGGTGGAAGAACACACATTAGCCGAACATTGATGTTTTACTTGCAGTTGATCTCAGTTCCAAATATGCTATTCTTCATCGAATTTCATTATCAAGTTTGCTGCCTGCCTGGCCTGCTGCAGCTTGGTGAAAGTTTAAATCTACTTGAGTACTTGTTGGTTTTAGTAGATTTTATTTGATGGTGTGTTAATCATAAACAATTGCCCTTTTGGAAAGGATCTTATCGA